TTCCTTCCTTCCTTCCTTCCTTCCTTCCTTCCTTCCTTCCTTCCTCTATCCTTTATTTGGTACATCACAAGGCAGCATACATTATATTCCCTCTTTCCCAATGAATATCCAGAATGGGAGGTGTCAAAAATAGACAGCGGAAGGTCTCCAAAGCCTACTCTTTTACAAAAAGGGCATTATATCACCATGTTCTCCATCTTGCCTGTTTTGTCTTCTTCCCAACAAATTTTGTTACTTTTGCTGAGGGCTATGCTATGGTAAATATTAAGTAGAGTTCATGGAAACAAGCCAGATTTATAAACTCTGCTTTGTGTGTGGTTGCTAAGATATTCTTAACATGGGTAAGGTTAGGTTTTCCTTGATGAAACATCGGGATGGGCTACAGCAGACAAAAAAGCTTCCAAACTCACTTTCTTCATTGGAGGAACAGTGAGGCAGTATCCAAAGCCTTGCCATGGTAATGCATTTCCTATGGATACAGTTGCATGAGTACACCAAGTCCTATCTGCTCTGAGGCTTCTCTGAAAAATTCCAGTAGAGAAGTAGATTATGAGTCTGCTTGCAATAGCAATAACAGCCACATTTGAATGTTAGCATGCTCTGAATTACTCTACTGCTAAAAATTCTCATTAAAAACGCAGTGTATTCGCCTATGAAGAGTTTATTGAAAACTGCAAGACGCAAAGTAATGTTGGGAGAATGCTGTGCTTTGGGTTAACTTTTGAGTGTGTTTTCTAACCCCTGCATATTAAATGATTCGTTCATACGCTGAAGTGTAAGATAATTTATACGCGAAAAAAGACAAATGATATTATTCTCCAGGCACAGCACGAAGAGATTTATGTTCCTAGTTTCATTTAACAGTGGTGGGCATTTTGTGTATAACTCACTACATGTGTCTTGTTAAATTCTCTTCTCTATCCCATAACAGTGGCAAGTCATTTTGAGTTATTAATCCAAGTATTACATTCAAATTTAACAACCTAATCAAGCAAAAATAAGTAGATTTGACTGTTACAACAGTGATACTCAAATAAAAGATCTTCCTTTTTTATATTGTATTTTGGTGTGTAACAATACATCTACTCAAAAAAACACAGTAGCATTCTCAATTTAAAATTCAGGGCTATTACTTGAAACCAGCATGGATTATTCCATAAGTTTAAATCTCTGTAATATTTAGCAGTTATACTGTAATATTTCATTTCTAATATATTCTTCTATGCATTTTTAATTTAAACAGTGAAACAAAAGGACCAAGAAACTATTCAATTATCAGGGAAAGAGAATCATTTCCGTTTGAATGAAATGGTGGTTGTAACAATATTGATCATTCTGAATTTGAACACCAGGGTTTATAATCTTTTATTTGAACTTGGATCTGCTAACTTCACTTACAAACCAGCATTTGTACTTCAGATGAAAAAAAAAAAAAAAAAGACTGGTTCTTTCATATCCACAACATGTAAAAAATTGAAAAGCAAATACTAGAAGCAAAATAGTTAGCCTTGAACTTTGTGTGCCCAAAGGAGAAAGGGAGGGGAAAACTTTAATATATGAAATGTGCAGGAAGCCTTTCCATTTGTCTGTGTGTGTTGTTTTCAAAAGATAGAATGCTAACAGCAATATCAAACTGTTTTGGATGATCTTTTTTTGTCTTCTGTATTTCTGGAAATGAATATGTTGCATTCAGTGTTGCATATTAAACGGCCATTCCAGGGAATATGATGGAAAAGAAAGAAGACGTCCAAATGTGGAATTGATGTTTTCATTCTGACTTTTAAACCATTAAAAAATATTCTAAAAGGAATCATTTGATCATTTTATAAATATTTTTAAAAGGGGACAGAGTTATCCAGTGTGTTTTTCTGTCTACGCATCAAAATAAATCTCCATTGAAAAAGTACTATTGATATATAAGGAAGCAATAAAATAGAGCTGTCCAAGCCAGGCTCTGATTCAGAGTCAGCCATTCACTTATTTCTTAGCCTTGGGCAAATTGTCATTATTTGCTATCGTTGCTGAAATGGACAGAAATATAGCTTAATAAATAAGAGTGCTTAAGGCTATAATCTTTGATGTATTTATAAGCAAATCCCACAGAAGGCTGTGGGTCTTTATCTGAAAAGGGGCAGATTGGACTGCATGGTAACATCTTTGAATTCCATGGTCTTAAAGGGGAAAAGAGCAACATTCACGGGTAGCTAAGAAAATTTCCCAGCATGCAAGACACGTAGCCAGGACTGGGAGGCTCTGGAAAATAGAGCAACAGACATCAGACTCCATCATCCCCACCTTCACCTCTCTCACCAATATGGACTTTGAAAGATGCATTCCAAAGAAATACTGTTTGGAGCAATGCTTCTTGTTGCCATTTGCACTACAGGTAGTCCTTGACCTACAACCACAATTGAACCCAAAATCTATTGCTAGGTGACATTTTTGTTGGGTGTTTCCCCCCCATTTTACGACCTTTCTTTCCACAGTTGTTAAGTGAATCATTGCAGTTGTTAAGTTAGTAACTGGCTTAGTGAATCTGGCTTCCCCCATTGACTTTGCTTGTAAAAAGCTCACAAAAACTGATCACATGACCCCAGGGCATAACAACAGTCATATATATGAACCAACTGCCAAGCTTCTGAATTTTGATTGTGTGACCACGGGGATGCTGCAGCGGTGAAAAAGTCACTTTTTTCAATGCCATTGTAACTTTGAATGGTCACGAAATGAATTCTTGTAAGTTGAGGACTACCGGTAACTGGGAACATTTTTGAATATTTGGGGCATCTGTAATGCAATTCTACTGAGGGTTTTTTTTTTTTAAAGCTCCCTCATTTGGACTTCTCACTCTTTATAAGATGCATAATATGATCATAATTTTTATAATCATTTTTAATGGTGACTGTGCCTTATTCATTCATTCATGCATGCAGCCATTCATTCATTCATTCAAT